AAAAAAGGTGTAGAGATTTAAGATGTACAAACTACCAGTTATAAAAATAGTCACAGGATGTAAAGTACAGCATAGGGAATATAGTCAATAATATTGTAATAACTATGGATGGTGCTAGGTGGTTACTAGACTTATTGTGGTGATTACTTAGTAAGGTATATAAATGTCTAATCACTATGTTGTACACACGAAACTAATATTGTATGTCAACTATAATTAAATTTTTAAAAAGTAAAATTTTCTGATTGTAGAAAAATATTTCAAAGATACTGTCATAAAGAAGGAAGTGGTTTATGCTATGAGGATTTAGAGGATAAATAGGAATTTGCCAAACACAGTAGAGGGAACACAGAGGTGATTTCTATACATGGACAAATGTGCAAGTGTGAATCAACATTCAGAACCAGAAAATTATTTTAAAACAAATGGACAGTAGGTAGTGCGTAGCAGAAATAGAGTCTGAAGAGCCAAATAGGAACCAGATCTTGAAATATTTTATTTGTCATACTAAGGGTAGCTTAGAGTCTAAGGAGCCAAGAATCTTGTTTTATTTGAGTTCAGTTTTATTTGAGGGCTAAGCACATGACTTTCTTTCAAGAAATAGTGAAAGGCCCAGCTGGTGTGGCTCCATGGTTGATCATCAACTGATGCACCAAGAAGTTGCCTCTTGATTCCTGGTCAGGGCACATGCTCGGGCTGTGGGCTTGGTCCCCAGTAGGGGGCATGCAGGAAGCAGCTGATTGATGTTTCTCTCTCATTGATGTTTCTCTCCCTCCTCCCTCCCTCCCTCCAAAATCAGTAGAAGCATTTTTTTAAAAATAGTGGGAGAATAAGGACATGTAGGAGATTATCGTGAGAGTTTAGGAATGAAAGTTCTGAACAAAGGAAAAGACAGTGGGAGAAGCAAGAAGAGGAAAGGGTAGATTTAAGTGATTTCAAGAAGACTTAACTCATATTTGGGAGTGAAAGAGAAAAGAACCTGGGGAAGATTCCCAAATTTTTGAGTGGATGGCAGTCCCTTTTATGTCCTCTGTGATAGGGAATAGAGGAGAAGATTGGGGTGTGGGGACAGGGAGAGATGAGTTGTTTGCGGTATTAGGCATTCAGATATTGGTGTCCAGTGTGCATTAGGTATACAGGACTGGAACTCCAGCAGAGAGCTCTGCACTTAAAGAAAGAGTTGGGAGGCCTCACCATATGGATAGTTACTAAAATTGTGAGTCTACATAGTTTTTTCAGTTATTGAAGTGGTCAAGTTCAAGATTATTCTCACCTTGTTAATGAACAAATGTTTCTCATTATATTTAATTTTCATTTTTATATTTAGAGAGAGAGAGAGAGAGAGAAACATCAATTTGTTCCACTTATTTATGCATTCATTGGCTGGTTGCTTGTATGTGTTCTGATTAGAGATCGAACCCCGCAATCTTGGAGTATCTGGACAGTGCTCTAACCAACTGAGCTATCCATCCAGGGCTTAACTTTCATTTTTAAAAAATGGTATATTGTTTGAAATAATGGTTTTATGTGATGTTTTCCTTTTGATAATAAACTGTTCCTTTATATTTTGGAGTTAAAGCATCTGAAACTATTATTGTGTTTTGTGATAAAATTTCTATTCAAGGACATGAATTAAAGACCTATATATCACTTACATTTGAAATATAAATTAAGTCTGTTAAAATTGTTTTTTTATTCTTAATCTAAAAATTGACAGAGGTCAATTTTTCCTAATTAAGAAGTGAAATGCTATTACTTTATGTGTTTTTTTGTTGTTTTTTATATCCTCACCTGAGGACATTTTCTCCACCTATTTCTAGAGAGTGGAAGGGGAAGGAGGAGAGGGAGAGAGAGAGAAACATCGATGTGAGAAAGAGACATCAATTTGGTTGCCTCCTGCATGCGCCTGGACCAGGGCAGGGAATCTGCAACTGAGGTGCGTGCCCTTGAATGGGAATCGAACCCAGGACTCTTCGGTTCCTGGACCAGCACTAACCACTGAGCCAAACCGGCCAGAGTGCTATTACTCCCTTTTTTAATGCTGTTCAGAGAGTATGTCTTCAGCAAAAGGCGGCTTTACCAACCTTTGTATATGCCTGCTGAGGAAGAACATTAAAGAACAAGTTTGCCTGATTGGCAGGAATTATTTAGATAATAAACTGTAAAATTTATTTATTTAGTCTTGGAAAAATTTCAGCCAAGAGAATAGAAAAGTTATCACTTTAGAGCACATACCCAGAGTCTGGAGGAGTATAAGACAAGTTACTGAACTAGTTCTGGGGAGTGGGAGAAGTAAGCTAAGATAGTTCCAGGGTGCTCATGTTTTTTTGTGATTGAATATAAGTTAAATGAGCCTGTTTAGACAGTTAAAAAAGAAAAAAGGAAGTTCTTAACACTGGTAAAATTTTGTTTCCATGTGTGTTTGAGTGGTGGAATTCTTTTGAGGATTATAGTTTGGATTAATATGTCCTTTTTACATTATAGCTACTTACTCCATTTGCCAATTATCTTACAAGCTTTTGTTTAAAAGAAAAAGAAAGCCCCTAATTCACTATTGCTTTCTAAACTGATGATGGTAAAACCATCCAGACTCTGAATATTAACTCGCTAGTTTTTATACCTTTGCAACTATACCTGAAAATATGCAATTCCCTACCATAAAAACAAAACTGCTAGTATTTAAAATACATTTAAATACTGTGTTGGCCTCTCCTAAAAGTGAAATCTTTAATTTAAATGTGTCAAGAAATGGAAACTATTTTTTGTTGCGGGGAAAAAATACACTGAATTAATGTGAGAAAGTAAGAAAAAATACACTGAATTAATGTGAGAAAGTAAGAAAGAGTAACTTAGAAAGTATAAAGGTTAGCCCTACCCAGTTTGGCTCAGTGGTTAGAGCATTAGCACTCAGGCTGAAGGGTCCCTGATTCGATTCCAGTCAAGAGCACTCACCTCAGCGGGACGCATGCGGGAGGCAACCAATAGATGTGTCTCTCTCACATCAATGTTTCTCCCCCCCCCCCCCAAAAAAAAAAAAATCAATAAAAACGTATTTTTAAAAAATACCTAGTAAATGTTGCCATGGTGAAACCCAAAAGGACTCAAATTCCAAAATGCTACCCACTTTATCTGCCAAAAGTCCTATTCAAAGGTCAATGTCAACAAGAAAGGCTTACTATAGGAAGCCATTGTCAGCCNTTTCTCTCCCCCCCCCCCAAAAAAAAGCAATGGAAAAAATATCCTCAGGTAAAGTATAAAGTTTAGTATTCGTTATACAACTTTTTATATACATTATCATATGTTTTTAATGAGATCATTTTTCTTTTGTGTTAATCAGCTAAGTCATAACATTAAAAATGTGGTGCTTCGACCCAGTGGAGCAAAACAAAGCCGCCTAATGTTAACGCTACAAGATAACAGCTTCTTATCTATTGACAAAGTACCAAGTAAGGATGCAGAGGAAATGAGGTTGTTTCTAGATGCAGTCCATCAAAACAGACTTAATGCAGGTGAGCACTAATTATCCCAAGGTTTGACATTAGCAGTTATAAAAGAATATTACTAGACTGTAGACCAATATTCCTGGTGAATATTTATGCAAAAATCCTCAACAAAATATTAGCAGACCAGATTCAACAGCACATTGAAAGGATTACACACTTTGACCAAGTGGAACTTATTTTTGTAATGCAAGGATGATTTTTAAGATATGAAAAAAAATCAGTCAGTGTAATATACCAAATTAACAGAATGAAGTACAAAGCCCACGCGATCATCTCAATGCAGAAAAAGCATTTGATAAAATTCAACCCCCTTTCATGATAAAAAATACTCGATAAACTAGGAATAGAAGGAAACTACCTCTCAGTATAATAAAAGCCATATGTGAGAGCCCACAACTAACATCACAATAATGAAAAGTTAATATAAAGATTTTCTAGGATCAGGAACAAGCCAAGGATGCCCTTTCTCACCAGTTCTGTTCAGCATAGTCCTAGCCAGAGCATCCTTTATTTTACCGAAGCAATTCTTATTCTGAGTTTTTCCTACAGAAATTTTACCATTAGTGTAAGAGATGTGAAAGGACATTCAGTATTGTTTTCAGTTTTTGAAAATTAAAGCATTCCAAATGATCATCATTGGGAATTGACTAAATTAAGCATAAAATATTTTTTAAAGTATATACCAATTCATATTTATACAATATCTTGCATGTTATTTAAACTAGCATTGGTTTCTTTGGAATAGAAGCCATGTATTGCACTTGCTGAACTTACAGAGAATGTTTTGGAGTATACATTATTAGAAATATATTTGTCACTGGTTCTGACATGTTTTATTGGCATCTAATGTCAGTGTTCGTGCCATAGACACACAGTTACTCACTTTTCTATGGTATCAATTACCAAATATTGATATAGGAGAATTTCTGGCATTTTCATTTTGCATTTAAAATTTTGTTCTCAAATTTTTACATGTTCCCAAATTTTTATTTTTTACTTGAGACTCTAGCTCTAAACTTTAATTACTATTTATATCAGATGTACTTTCTGTTCAGAATGAATTGCTTAATAAGCACTTTAATTTATTTCTGCTTCTATTTCTGCAATATTGTGTAATAATAATGACAAATCTCCTTATTAAAATAAGTGATTGGGAATTTTTTTTTTTTTTGCACTAGCCATGAAAACTTCTCAGGGGTCTGGTAGTTTTGGAGCTATTCTGGGCAGCAGGACCTCACAGAAGGAAACCAACAGGCAGCTTTCTTACTCAGATAATCAGGTATGTTCATTTGAATCTTTTTAGTTTTTTAAAAAAATGATAATCATAGACATTCTGTAAGGTAATTGTAGTAAGTAGAATTTAGACTGTAATGCCTAATAGTTCTGGCTTTGTCACAAGGGTATTTTCACATACCTGAAATTTACCATTTTAGTTATTTCAGTCTCTCCAACTATTTTTTATGGAAGTCTTTCTAAAATTTATCACATTCTTCCCTTTTTATGTACAGTTTTACTGAACTGTAAATTTAACCTTTGCTCGATGTCTCATGTCTAGTGAACTGCAATAAAGTATAGTTTTTAAAAGCATAGCTTTGGAGTTATGTGGGCTTGAGACTTGGTGCTGATGCTTACTAGCTGTGGGTCATTGGAGAAGTTCCTTAAGTATCCTGAACCCTAGTACCAATCTGTAAAATTGAGACTAATGTTTTAAGGGTTACTGTGAGATAATGCATGTAAATACCATATATGAACAACCCAATCAGTGTTTGCTGCTACTGTTTCTGTGATCCCTTTGTGTCTGTTCTATGCTATGAACTTTGCCATTACACAGTGTGATACCAGACTCTTTTGTTGGAGTCTTCTCTTTGCTTTTTAAATAGTTTTTCTTTCATAAATATTATTCAGCCTGCCATGAGACTTGCTGTGCATTATTGCAATTGAGCAGTCCTGTGTCTCTTAATTGAAACTGATTAATTTTATTTGGCTGTGCAGACAGGTGGTTACCTAGTTCATTTACTGGGATAAGCAATTAATAAAATTCCATTTTTATTTTTGTGTGTGTATATGTGTGTGTGTGTATATATATATAGGATAGGGTTTCATTTTTGTTTGTTTACATTTTAGTTGAGGTATAATTGACATTCAGTAAATTGCACATAATTGTTCAGTTTAAAACCTTTTGACTTACATATACCTACCCATAAAATCATCATAAGCAACCTGGTAAACATAGCCATAACCTTTAAGTGTTTCCCATTCCCCATTTATAGTCCTTCCCTCCCTCTCCTTCTCTGGCTCCTATCCCTAAGCTACAACAGATTTGCTTTCTGTCACTATAGGTTAATTTGCATATTTTAGAGTTTATATGAATGGGATTAATGTAATTTTTTGTTTTTTGGTCTGGTTTTTTCACTCAGTATAATTACTTTGAGATTCATCCACTTATAAGTAGAAATTTAAACCGTTGGAATATTTAAATGTGTAAGCATGATCATGTATAGCAGAAGCAAATATTTATACTTCACAAATAATTATTTCCATTACTGGGATTATAAAATTGATTTGTGAGTTGTGACTAGCATGAAATAAAAAAGGAAAGAATAGAATAGAAAAGGAAAGAAAATAATAGAGAAGGTATTATACGTAGTAAGGATATGTATTGGTTTCTGAAACTTTTGTTTCAGTTCTACTTGCATATATGTGCAATGTAAAATGTCTTACTAAGGGGTCAAATAAGGTTGAAAATATGCAAAACAGTTTGCATATAGTATGCTACCTTTTGTATAACAAAAAGAATTAAATGTTTAAGGGTTTTTTTCAATATAGTTAAAATGTTTTAAATATAATTAAAATATTGAGTAAAGGGACAATAAAAGAATACTTACAAGGAGTAGAAGAATGGGAAGTGGGAAAATGGATGTATAGCATCGGGGTGATAATGAGACTTGTCAGTATATGGTTTTTATAGTAGTATTTTGATTTTTAAATCTTGAGAATGTATCACCCATTTGAAAATTAACTTTTTAAATAGTTTATGCAGATGACCTCAGATTTTTTTTTCTTCCCTATCCTAAGATTGTAATTCTGTAGAAAGTTACTGGAAATAACTTTTCATTGAGAAATCACATAGCTCTTAATATAGCTATAAAATTTAAATTTGGCAGAATGCTGGTTGAAAGCACCCTTTCCCAAGGTGTGGCAGAGAAGGTTTACAGTTGTGAGTATGTGAAACACAGAGTTTATTCTTGTATTATTATTAACTATTGTATTATTTTCCATACAAATATCTGTAAGCACACTTTTTCCCCACCCTGTATTTTTTAATTGCTGTTTTCTCTCTAAATGTCCTTGCTGTCTTTAGGATAGTAGAGTTTTTTATTTGGCTTCTGCCAGTGATCTCTATATTACTCTCATTTTCCCCATCATTATATATGTTTGTTTCATTCTTCCAAACTGGAACCCCTTCATAAGTCATATGATGTACATGTGACTTGGCATTTAACTTGTGGCAACCAGATGTCATTGTTGCTCATTTTTGTCACATCTGTGTCACTTTAAGACAGTAATACTGGGAAAAACAGAAGGCAGCAGGAAAAGAGGAAGACAAAAAATAAGATGGATTGATACCAGAAAAGAAGCCATAAGCATGTGTCTACAGAAGCTGAGCAGGATATATGAGGACAGTACATTGTGTACATCACTTATTCATAGGGTTGCCAGGAGTTGGAGACCACTCAACGACACATAACACACACATCACTTTATCATAATTATAATTGGATTTTTTCTCTAAAGATTTATTTTCATCCTGGTCACTAGAACCATGTCTTGTGTATATGAATCCTTTTTTTAAAAAAAATCAGTAATTCATAGCAGATTCCCTTCTGCCTCTAGGTATGCTTTGGAATTTTGAAATTTCCAAGAGTACAATAGGGAAAAAAGTGTTGCTCAATTTATGACACTGACCATACATTAGAATCACCTAGAGTGCTTAAAAAAATACTGATGAATGGGCCTCATTCCCAGACCAGTTAGGTTATAATCTCTGGAAATGGATCTCTAGTTGTGGGTATTTTTTTAAAGTTCCCTATTTGAGAATCACAGGTCTGAAAGTATGCCAATTAATTTGAAGATTTGCTATCTTTAACTTTATTCTTACAGGCCTCTTCAAAAAGAGGAAGCTTGGAAACTAAAGATGATACTCCATATCGAAAAGTTCTTGGTAATCCAGGTAGAGGATCCATTAAGACCACAGCAGGAAATGGAATAACTGTCACCCGAACGATTCCCTCTTTGACATCTACATCAACACCTCTTAGATCAGGGTTATTAGAAAATAGGTATGAAAGACGTTTTTTCTTTCTTAGTCATTTGTTGTGCCTGTTTATAAATATCTTTTAGGCCTTTTAGAAAGATCAAAAATTTGAGAAAATGAGGGAGATTGTCTAGTGAATCAAGTGTGTTAGAAGAAGAAAGTATAGAGTGCATTTTTGGTAGATAATTAGTATTCGTCTTATGTGGTTTATGTCAGTGACACATACTGAGTATGTGGATATACAGTATATTAATTTACATGTGGTGTAGAGAATTAGATAGCAGTAGTAACAGTACCTGTCCTTGAGTGTGTTGGTTTATACTTTTTTTTTTTTTAAATCCTCACCCGAGGATATTTTTTCCATTGCTTTTCAGAAAAAGTGGAAGGGAAGGAGAGAGGGAGAGAGAAACATCAATGTGAGAGAGTCACATCAAATGGTTGCCTCCCACCCGCGCCCCAAGCAGGGCCAGGGATCGATCCTGCAAATGAGGTATGTGGCCTTGGCCAGAATCGAACCTGAGACCCTTCAGTCCACAGGTGGTTGCTCTAACCACTAATCCAAACCGGCTAGGGCAGTTTATACTTTCTAATGGTATGAGTTCTGACTTTTTAAAATAAGGTCTTTTTCTCTGTTTTCTATAGAACTGAAAAGAGGAAAAGAATGCTGTCTGGCTCAGAGCTGAATGAAGATTACCCTAAGGAAAATGATTCATCATCGTAAGTTGCTTTAAGAGCCTTTAAGGCCCTAGATCAGTGTTTGTTATATTGGTAATTACAACCACTAGGGAAGATTGTTCAATTTATGGGGATTCCGAAGATAGAAGAGCAAAATTTAAAATATTTTGGTGATAGATTCTAGGCTCAACAGAGAATTTGACCATTGCTATTGCTTTGATCATTTCATTGCACTTCTCCCATTGTAGCTTTTTTTTTTAATCTGCAATACTTAGAAGAAGAACAGAGCTGAAGAACTCTAAATAAGTGTATCTTGCTATCTGCTCTTTCAGTGTGAACCCCCTCTTTCCCTCTTCCCTTTACTTATAAATTTTTTTTACCTTATTCATGTGAAAAGTTAGCTTAGGGGTAAGAGGATGTATACCCTACATAGGTTCTAGGCATGGAACATCAATCTTTTAGAGCTATTTTCTTGGTTGAACAAAAAAATATACACCTGCAACAAGACAGTCACCAGCTCGCATCCTCTTTTTCCTTCATGGGAGGGTCTTTTTTTTTTTTGGTCTTCTAGGGGGAGAAAACTTATTTTACACAGTGATCAGTTAATACCTCATTTAACACCTTAACAAAAATCAGTTGATAGTTAACTGGTATTCGAGGTCAAGAGATCACCATAAAGGAAAAGCTGAAGAAACTTTATATATTAATTGGGATCTTGGTTCTGCTGCTGTAATACATGTAAAAATCTGGGCAGGTAATAGGACTGGCGTGGTATCTGAAACTACAATCACCATGGACTCAGTCTCCTTTTATCTTGTTGGCCCACTGTCCTTAATAAACTTCCATTTTGTGAACCAAGATGGCTGCTTCAGTCTTCACTTTCATTTCTGCATTCCTATTCATGGGAAGGAAGAAAGGAGAAAAGGAAGGGCATACAGCTTTCCTTTAGGCTGGAAATTGTATATACCACTTTTATATCTATCACATTGACCAGAACTTAGTCATATGGTTGTATCAAGTTATAAGGAAGACCAGTAAATATGCCTAGCCCAAATTTTATAATGGTGGAAGAGTACAATGGTTATTTTGGGGACAACTAAATGGCCGTCGTAGTTTGCCCTTCTAGCCACAGAAATACCCGCTTATTACTTTCCCATACATAGAACACTCTTATCTCATCCTAATAGAGACAACTTCCAAGTCTCATTTAGTCCTTGTGTCCAGCTCCAAGTCCAGAATCTCTGGGTTATGTGCAGTCCTTTCCATCAGATCTTTTGGACCATGTGCCTTATGTTTTGGTCCCTAGAAACAAAGGCATATTAATCTGCGTTCCCTACACGTATCATTATACAGGCATATCTCAGAGAGATTATAGGTTTGGTTCCAGACAACTGAACTGAAGGAAATATTGCAATAAAATTACATGAGTTTTTTGGTTCCCCAGTGCATAATGTGTTTACACCACTGTCTAGAAAGTGGGTTAATAGCATTATGTCTTTAAAAAAACAATGTGTGTACCTTAATTAAAAATGCTTTATTGCTAAAAAAAAAAAAATGCTAGCCATTATCTGAGCTTTTAGTGGGTCATGATCTTTTTGCTGGCAGTGGATCTTGCCTTCAATTTGTAAAAGAAAAAGAAAAAACTATCTGCAAAATGTAATAAAATGAGGTGTGCTTGTACATTGCTGGAGCAGGCACAGGATATTCACAGTAAAAATTTACATTTAGAAAAGACAAGAATAGGAAACTGGAGGAGTCACTGCTCCATAGCAGCAATAAAATCTTGCTTGGCAGATATTGTGAAGACAGGGGAGTGAATTCTTGATTAGCCCATGTAGCGGTCTCTGTTCTTTCCTCTGGCAGAAATCCTTGTTCATTGTATTTCATATGACTCCTGGCTTTGTCCTTTGGTAGGCTTTCTTTGTTACCATTCAAGGCTATAGCTGAAGGTTTTGGAAACTGTTCTTCTTTGGGGCCATGCACCTTGTAGCCTGGTGTTGTTCTGAAAGAAGTTTCCATAGAAATCTAGTAGAAGTTTCTTTAAAGGTATAACAGGCAGGCTTTTATAGGGTCCAGAAAGAATTTGGACCAATATTTTGGGGGTTTTTTGTTTGTTCGTTTTAATAAAACTTTTAAATTTTGGAATAGTTTTAGATTTACAGAAAAGTTACAGAGATTAAGTGGAATATTCCTGTGTACCCCTCACCTAGTTTCCCCTAATATTAATATTAAAGTTTTTTCACAAACTACTTTTCCATTTACCTCTTATTTTCTCAGTTTGAGAATTAGAAGCAATTGCATTTCTTAGGGGGTTGGGAATGGTGGTGGTAGATATAAGAAAGGGAATAATTTGGGACATTTTAAAAACAACTTTATCGAAGTACATTTTTATATACCATAAAATTCATCTTTAAATGTACAATTCAATAATTTTTGGTAAATTTATTGAGTTGTGGGATCATCACCATAATCTAATTTTAGAACATTTCTATAACTCCATCAAGATTCATTGTGCATTCTACCACATTTCTTAAATATCTAGAGATATTGCAAGAGCCATGTTCTCTTTCATTGTATCCCATCCTAATTCAATATAGATACACTGTGGATAACAGATGTTATCAGCAATGGGATTTCTGTTGCCATTACCAAACAAGTGATCCAATTCCAGAATCCTGTCCTTAGAGTGTGCTTCCTAGTTCCAGCTGTTGTAGATCAAGTTCCCCAGAAAGCAGACCCTGAAATGGATATTAGTGTGCAAGTGATTTATTAAGGAAGTATTCCCAGGAGTTACCAGGAAGGGAATCTGGTCAGCAAGACAGTGAAGTACAGGAAATAAAGCATTACTATGATCTCAGACGATCCCTTACTGAAACCAAAATAATGGAATATTATATCAAAAACATACCTAAATTGGTATGGAAGAAAGGATACAAAAATAGGGTCAAAGGGAATTTGGGTGGAGCATCTAATTTCTCTGCTACAGGCTTTATTCATAATGGTTCTCTTAAAGTAAAATTTTAATCAAAGCATGAGTATTTATTTGGATGGACCCACTTTAGTTATATAGGTTTAGGTATTGGGGAATAATGGAAATGGGGCTTAAGAAATTTTAACTTTGGCCCAGCCGGGCGTGGCTCAGCAGTTGAGCATCGACCTAGGATCCAGGCAATAGGGGTTCGATTCCCGGTCAGGGCACATGCCCGGGTTGCAGGCTCTATCCCCAGACGGGGGCGTGCAGGAGGCAGCCGATCAATGACTCTCTCATCATTGATGTTTCTCTCTCCCTCTCCTTTCCTCTCTCTGAAATCAATAAAGATATATTTTAAAAAAGAAATTTTAACTTTGTGTTCATGAACTTAAAATAGTTTAATCACAATGAATTTAAGTGATAATGACATTTAGTAAATAGCATTTCAAATCTAGACTTTAAGAATGTTTTTGTTTATTTGTTTTACTTTTTAAACCTATTTAGTATCAAGCTTGAATAGTTTACTTCTTAATTGATTATTTTGGTCTTTTAGTAACTAAATCATTTCATCTGCTCTTGCTTTTGACTCAGAAAATCTATATAATCTTGCTGTCTCTGGTTTGACTTTTGTAAAAATAGAATGTTCCATAATTTGCTTAATTAATAGGGTTATAGATTTGGGTTGGGTTTTGACTTGGTAATGAAAGCTTATTTTCATGATTCTCATTTGCTTAAGTTCTGACCTCTTGAGGTTTTAACACTTTGTAGCCTAACTTCCAAGCAAATCCATGAATTCATCACTTAAAATGTAAATTTTTTTAATGACAGCTATTTAAAATTAACTGTATCTTTACACACCTATATATATTGAATTAAATTATTGACTGTAGGAACAACAAGGCTATGACAGATCCCTCAAGGAAGTATTTAACCAGCAGTAGAGAGAAGCAGCTGAGTTTGAAACAGTCGGAAGAGAATAGGACATCAGGTAAGTATTTGGTCTTTATATAAGATACTCATTTACTATATGATATATTATATAGATTATAAATAAAACCCGGCACTGGGACATACCTCTGTGTTGTTCAGGAATACTCCATAATTCAGTACTAGTTATTGGGTACCAGTTTGTATCCAGTACTCTGCTAAAATACTTTTAAAGTATTAGAACTATAAGGGAACTGTTTACAAAGAATCTTCCCTATTTAGCCCGGCCGGGCGTGGCTTAGCAGTTGAGCGTTGACCTAGGATCCAGGCGATCGGGGTTTGATTCCCAGTCAGGGCACATGCCCGGGTTGCGGGCTCGATCCCCAGTCGGGGGCGTGCAGGAGGCAGCTGATCAATGACTCTCTCATTATTGATGTTTCTATCTCTCTCTCCCCCCTCCTTTCCTTTCTGAAATCAATAAAGATACAAAAAAATAAATAAATAAATAATTGGTTGGAAGGAAGGACATAAGAGTAGGGCTGATGTAAATGAGAAATTTCTGATTTTTCCTGATAAGGAGTCAGCAATACTGTTCAAAATGAATAAATGAAACATAGTTTTTTAACTTGTGCCAGGAGAGTATTCTTGGCTATCACAGCCTCTCCCACAGTATTCTGTCTTTTTAGCATTTATAGAACTTGGATGAAAAGGGGGAGTTACATATAAACAGGCCTGATGCATAATTTTATTATTAATTGAACTTCAGTGGTTGATTTAGGAATTAAATTGTTCCTGTGTTCATTTTATAGGGCTTTTACCCTTGCAGTCATCCTCTTTTTATGGCAGCAGATCTGGATCCAAAGACTACTCTTCCAGCAGCACTAATCTAGACAGGTATGCATTGGTTATATGCACTGTGAAGAACTTGAAGAGCTCTCTTCAGAATATTGAATGACGGGATAGGCTATGCATGAATACCTTTTTTCCTCTCTTCTACATCAGCTTTTGTAAGATGTACCTTAACTTCAACATGATTAAAGCTTATTACATCTTTAAGTAAACTAAGTGAATACCCTAATTTAAGAAACAAAATTGATGAGAATCATAGACTCGTGACATTTTAGTTAGAAAGTACTCTACAAATGTTTTAGTTCAACATTTGGAAAAGACTAGTCAAAAATTTAATTGCTGTCTGTAGATATAGATTAATTTTTTGAGATTTAATAGATATATAAGACAGTAGCTAAGCACTTGTCAAGAAAGTATGATTGCAGAATGCAGCACAGAGGAGCAATGGTAAATGTAAAAAGTGAGGGTAATGGTGCTATATAATAAATGTGGTATGTAATGAATGACCTATTAAGTCTTATTTTGGTCTTTACTGAAAATTCAGAGTGCTAAAAACATCTTGATTATTTATATAAAATTATTAAGGTGAAGTAAAGAATTTGATAATGTATATTTAGGTATATAAGGCCTTGGGTGGTATCTCAAGCACTTTATGACAGCAATGTAACTAAGTTATTTGAATTTAAGAGAGAGGAAGCTTGGCTTCTGTGTATTAGAAGGATCTTAAAGGAATCTTAAGTTTTTTTTAAAAAGTCCTAAATTTGGTTTACAAATTATTTATTAATACAATACAAATTTCTTCTCAAAATAATAAAATGAGCATATTCATTGCACATAGCACTGGTTGAGGGGGGAAATTTTTTTTAATGCAAAGCTGCACTCAAAGATGGGGGAAAATTTCCAGATCAGTGACAAAACTAATATTGAGTAAAGGCTGACTCCATAAGGCACGTGGCAAATATAGACAGGAGTCAACTATTTAGGCCTGGGTCTTCAAAACTAGCATGAGATTGGGAACTGAACATGAACCCAGACCAGAACTTGGTTTCTTATATGAAGCTACGTGAGGGTGGATATCTACAACTGCTCTCTGTGCTAGTAAACCAAAGCAAAACCATAAATGTACTGCTTGCCTGATGCTCCCTGAGCAGAGAGCAAATACACAGAAATGGGAATTGCAGTGATTGGTATCTGCTTTAGTGTTCTCTTCATAAGGGCAAGAATTCTGAACCTCTAACAAAGTCCTATGCAAATTAGAGGTCCAAACCGAGGCAACTACTGAGGAGGTCAAGACATGATCATGGAAACAAATATACCCTGCATTGTCCAAACTACAGTATTTAGGACTACATTGAAAGGGATAAAACTGAGAAAGCTAATGATAACTTTTAGGGTAGAAGAACAGGGTTGTTTGGGAAGAGGCATTTGGGGTTTTTTGACAATAATGATTGTTACATAGGTATTTGCTTTATAACAGTTATTAAGCTCTACATTCACCTTTTAAAAAATTAGTAGACCTCATTTTTTAGAGCAGTTTTAGGTTAACAGCAAAATTCACCAGAAAGTACAGAGTTCTAATAAACCTCCTGACCCCACATACATGTATGCAACTTCCCTCACTATTGACATCCCGCACCACAGTGGTAGACATTTGATTTTTATGCACTTTTTTGTATAAGTAACTTATTTCACAATTTTTTTTAAAGTAACAAAACCAAACTGTGGCTATTAGATGGCCTAGCCAGACAGTAAGTCGTTTGGAGATAATCAGTCTTTCCTTATAAGAAAGCAAATCATATTCCTACTTCATGACATACAAAAAAATAAACATCCAAGCAGATTAAAGAGGAGGGAAATAGGAGGGAAAACAGATCTTAAAACTTTTAAGGGAAAATATAGGAAAACATTTCTGCAATCTTATGCTACAGAATGAGTCTTAAACAAGACAAAAAACTGAAACTGTAAAAGAAAAATGATAAACTTGACTATTCAAAACCTGAAACTTAGGATATCTATTAAACAAAGGATTAAAATATAGACTATGTAAATAACTGCAAATCTTTAAGAACCCAGTGTAAAACCCAGGGGTGCACAAAAAGCAATTTAGAGAAGAGTAAACAATTATAAAAACATGTTCAGCTTCAGTAGTAATCAGGAAAATAAAATAGTGAGATCATGTGTCACTCATCGAATTGGTAATAATGTAATGGAGGTCATGTGAAGAAATGGAAGTTCACCACTGGTGGAAATAAAAATTGGTACAGCCTTTTTGGAAAAAAATCACACTATCTAGGAAAATTAAAAATGAAAATTAGATATACTCCTAACATCTTCACTTTTCAGCATATAAACGAGGAAGTTCTCAGGGAGATTGGATAAGAGTATTGGTTGTGTCATTTTTTGTAACAGTGGAAAAAGTTAACTGCCCAAATGTTTTTAAGACTAGGTAAACTAATGTATGATATCCATTTCCTGGATAAAAGTGAATTAAAAATAAAACTTTATTTATAGTTTTTCTCAAGCTGTTAACTTGGATTATTTTGATTGTAGGTTAAGTAGGTACAGTATTAAATGCTTCTTCAGTGCTCTATCAACAGGCGTGGATTTATGGAATTTTTCCTCAGGTGATCATTATTACTGATATTTCCCCAAATTTAGATTTTTTTTCTTAGACATTTATTTCTCTGAATCTGCTGGGGGGGAAAGTAGTTTTCAAAATTGTTTTTGCTTCTTCATTTTTTATTCTTTATAGGACTAATGTTTCAAGCCAAACTCCCTCTGCCAAAAGAAGTTTAGGATTTCTTCCTCAGCCAGTTCCTCTTTCTGTTAAAAAACTGAGGTGTAATCAAGATTATACTGGCTGGAACAAACCAAGAATGCCCCTTTCCTCTCATCAGCAGCAACTGCAGGGGTAGGTAAATTCCTTCATTTTGCTTTGTTTTTGTAAAGGGATTCAACTGAAGTATGGTTGGCTGGTTGGTTGGTTGGCTGGCTGGCTGGCTGGCTGGCTGGCTGGCTGGTTGGTTGGTTGGTTGGTTGGTTGGTTGGTTGGTTGGTTGGTTGTTTGTTAATCCTCATGGGAGGGTAATTTTTCCATTGATTTTTAGAGAGAGTGGAAGGGAGAGGGGGGTAGAGAGAGAAACATTGATGTGATAGAGGCACATTGATTACTTGCCTCCCACATGCACCCCAACCTGGGCTAGGGATTGAACCTGCAGCCCAAGTATCTGCCCTTGACAGGAATCAAAACCATGACCCATCACTGCATAGGCCAACATTCTAACCACAGAATCACATAGGCCAGGCTGAAGTATGTTTTGATTGTGGTGAAAAATAATGATGAAAGGAGTCATATTATAGTTATAAAATATTTGCTCACTGATTAAATATTTATCATATTTATACATAATAAGTTCACTGGTCCAATTTTTGAACTTCGAATATATATTACTCATCATAAAGCAGAGAATGAGTAATCTCCAATCCCATACACTTCATCCTGTTACTGAGATGCTTCAGCATTAAGTTTTATTTATATCCTCCCCAGCCCTTTCATATATTTTTATTCAACACAAAAGTAAGAGCATAGTGTAATAATGATAATAGTAGCAGTCTTACCTAACGTGTTTATTATGTGCCGGATACTGTGTGCTGTGTTTCTTAATGGATTTTTTTCTTTAAATCCTCTCAACAGCTCAGTGAAGCTAGATGTATTAAAAGTCTCCTTTTATAGATAAAGTAATAACTAAGCCTTGGAGAAGTTCATTAACGTGCTCAAGGTGATGCATAGTCAGTAGTACATCAGTAGAAAATCTTTGCCGTTGGACTCCACTTGCATTCTTAACCACTGTGCTATGTTTCTTCTCTTTTCCCTCATTTTTTTTCATTCCACATTAATCATGGGCATCCTCACATTATTAATATGTAACTTTCAACCATGTTAATATGCATTTAGATTTCCCTTTTTTTCAATTATAATCCAAGCTAGAATGAACATTCTTATATGCATGATGTTTTTAACATTTGTTGGAACTTTCCTATAGGGTATATTCTTGGAAGTGGAATTATTAAGATTAAGGAAGGCACTTGAAATTTTTGATTACATCAAATTGCTCTACCAGCTTGTTTGTTTTTAATCTTACTCAAATTACTGTGTTTTTCTACCAGCTTTCAGATTATATTTTTATTTGAATGAGTGGTGTTTGCCAATTTGGCTTCTCTATAGTAGTTTATATGCTTCATCTTAGCAGAAAACAACATAAAATTTGCAGTGAAAACATTTCACTTTTCTGCTTACCTGTTCTTTTCTTTGAGTCTCTTCTTTTCTGCTCTGTCTTCTAAAATGTTTTCAGTTTAATTCTTAATTTCCTTTGTTCTTCATTCTGATTGGTCTGCCTCAAATTATTATCTTGGTGTCTCCTTACTAGATAGCATTCTTACATTAGTCTTATGTATCCCATTTTGTGACCATTTTTCATCCAGATTTTGTCTCTGTCTACCTTGATCTTATTTGTCTCACTTTTATTGCCTCCTTTTGTTTATTTTATAGTCTACTTCTGGTCTCTATCATTCACCTCCTTCAGAGTCTTTTGATGTCCTCATGAGTTACTCACCCTTGGCTCTCCAGGTTCCCTGTCTACCCTTCAGCCTCTTTAATTTTTGTATGGTACCTGTACTCATCTCTAGAAATACAGCTTTCCTTTTTTTAGACTTTTCTTCCAGGACTTACAGTGCACTATTTCAAGTAGGCTAAGTATTAAGGATAGAGGACTCCTTAAAAAACAAACAAACAAACAGAATAGAAAGCTGCCAGGTCTAGGGGGGTATTGGAGGCTACTTATTTCCAGTGGTCCTCACAAATCCTCCAAAACACAAAAAGTGAATGAGGAATGCAAAGAAACACATACATAACCCTTCAGCATTACTAGAAGACAAAGAATACCATCACCTGTCATTTCAAAACTTATTTTCTCCAGCTTGCGCCCTTGAAAGCTTGGATTGGCATTAAATCTTGTTCATCCCTTCATCAAGTTTCTTGAAAATGATGCGTAATCTACTTTCTAAGTAGAGAAGCAGACCAAAAATTCCAGCAGTGTTCCCATTTTCCTGCTGTTTTTAGCCTGTGGGTGCTGATCGGAACAGGATGCTTAAGAGATTCCGTGAAAAAGAATATGTAAGAGTAGAAGACTTAGATGAAGAACAGAAAGAACATTACTCTAAGAAAGAGAAATTCAAATACTAACTACTATAATAGTGAATATAGGTCTGGATCTTGGTAGTTCACAGCACTCATTACAGGGAAGAGGCTTGAAAGTAAGTGGTATCAGAAGTAACAGTCTCAGAGAAGCATTACTTGTAGAGGAAAGAATCAGCCAAATCTAGAGACTTGGCTTAGAACCAAAAGAAAAAAATGAGAGGAAAATTAAGGATTATTCTGAAATAAAAAGTAAACAAGACATCCCGACCCCTCCTCTCCTACCACAACCACAACCCGTTAAAGAAACTGCACTCAACTAACAGAAGAGGATGTGCTTGAATTAGGAACTCTGTCCACAAAATGAATAAGAACATAAAAAATACAGGCCATTTCCATACAGAATTGTAAGGGAAAAAATAGAAAACATAAATCAAAAAATTAAGGCCAATAAAAATCCTACCCCCAAATCAACATGAACTGTAAGAAAACTGTTATATTCCACTCTAAACCGAATATATATCCTCATAAGCATTTGAAGATATGAAAAAAGCACCATGAATCAGGAATTCAAACTAAGGATCAAAATGGACAATCAGGAAGAAAATGACAGTTGCTTGAATTCAGAAAACATAGAGAAGAAGAAAGACAACATGTTAGAAATTAAGTCTAAATTAAAGTTCCCCAAGGGAAAATAAATTCAAACGAAAATTTAATAAGGGTCTTTGAAGGAAAACAAAAATATCCAAGGAGGAAAAAATGAGATAAAGAAGTATAAATGGTCAGAGAGAAAGTTTTTGGACAGGCCAGGAAGGTTCCAATTACATTAAACAGCCTTGGCCAGTGTTTCCTAGTAGTTGGAGTGTCAGCTGAGCACCGAAGGGTCAAGGGTTCGATTCCCAGTCAAGGGCACCTGCATGGGGTTGCAGGTTATATCCCTGGCCCTGGTTGGGGCACATGCAGGAGGCAACCAATCTATGGGTTTCTCACATCGATGTTTCTATCTCTCTCCCCTTCTTCCCTCCTTCCCTGCCCTCCCTCCCACCCTCCTACTGTC